CCCCAAAACCCCAAAACCCCAAAACCCCAAAACCCCTTTTCTAAATATCAGTGTTGAAAATCTTTCAATAAAGTATATATGGAAATACTAAATATGTCTTCAATAATTCGTTTTAGGAATAAAGGCTTGCTAAAATATCAGGAAGGACATAATGCTTTTACTTAAGAACAAAGTAGTTAATTTCATGTTGAATATAAATTCTAGATGCTTGATATAATCCATCATCTTCAATAATTAAAATGTGGATGAAACTTATTACACATTTCTCAATAAATTTCAACTTAATACCTAATGTCCCTCCCTATAATACCAAGATGTTGCTTCATAACAAAGGATGATGAATAGAAATGAACTCTTAATTTTAAATTCAAATATCAATAGTCGACAAGGAGCAGTTATATCCCCAACTTTCTGCATTTAACTGGTTTAAAATTAGTAGATGTAATTTTTTTAATTTCTTAACAAAATTTTAGGTTCAAAAATCTAAATTATAATGGCTAATGCCCTAGAAACCTTTGTTCAATAATTGGTATGCTCTAATTTTGTTTAAGCTGTAGCTTTCGAGACTGGTTATAATTCCTGTATACTTTAAGAGGTACTTTTCCAATAAATTTAGTACTCGCAGTTATACCTCAGAACCCAATGTTTGGAAGTATGAAGCTTTAGGCTAGCGTTCTTGCTACGAAAGCAAGTCAAATAAGCTAAAAAGTATTCAATGAAAACAGTTTTTATTATTTTCATGATGAAACCATCTTAACCCACTAATGGTATTTTTAGGCAGAGTTTACATTTGATAGTGAGATAAGCTACTAGACGATTGTATGCTATCATTCTTGTGTCTAGGCTTCCTATTTTTAACAAAGTCGTCTTCTATTTTGTATTCTTCTTTTCTAGATAGTATGTTAACTTATTGTGTTGGATTCAGATTAAGGTTTTTAAATCGTGAAAATATAAAAATTTCAATAAAGAAAAAGCAAGTAAGGAAGAAAATAGAGAGTGATTTTTAATAAGGATCTATTAACCAAAAGAATGATATTTACTCATTTTTCATAAGAAAAGTTATGATTTTAAGAATACATTTCATCTTGCAAATCAGCAAATCGAAATTGGAAAAATCGCTAATTTCTGATCAAAAATGGATATTTACCTTGTTGGTGACTCTCACGATCTTCGATATGAGTTTTCGCCAAATATATTTGGGCATATTTGGTTTAACAGTTTCGTATCAATTTTAGTCAGGCTATTTATGCTTGTAATCATTAATCAACCCTATATTTAGGTTAACAATTTATTCATGAAGACCAGAATTTAGCTATTTTTAATCAAATTTGTAGTTCTAAGCTCATATTTCATCAAACCATAACTGTTATTTGGGATATGGCTGTTTCTTTAGAATCATAATGGTAAGCTATCTTGATGTATGAATAAATTTCAAGAATCATCTTCTGGCTAACTTCCCATGAAATAATACTCTTCAAAATGAAGATAAAATATAGAGTAAGATAAAGAAATGCATACTCCCAAGCTTTTCGTTTGAAGTATCAATATCTTTTGATTTTGGCATTTTGGAAACGATTATACCATCATTTGAATTTCTCTCCTGGTTATAAACGGATGAACTTCATTTTTCAGATCCTAAAATCAATAGATTAGTTTATTTGATAGTTTATTTCTAATGATTTCCTCTTTTTGCATAATTGAAAAACAAAGAGTGTGGATGAAATTATTTCTATCTAAACTACTAACAAGCTGATACTTGCTTTACAATATTTTAAAACTTATCTAAATTCTATCATTCACAATAAAATTCAATTAAATACGATTGTTTTGTTATTTCGTCATCAAACTACTCCAAAAATACAAAATTTCCAATTGTTCCAAAACGGGATTTATCTCTGGTTAATTATCTACTGTACCTTTATCCTGTATGTACCTCAGCAGCTCTTTCTGCTGGTCTGTGAGCACAATATTAAGAAGAGTTTCTACTCGACGCATAGAAGAAACTATATTGGAGATATCCATTTGTTGGGAATACCTCTCTATCCCTTGCTGAAACACTTGGTAATTCTGGTATGAGCTCTTGCACAATTTATTTACACTTGAAACAGCACAGAATACCGTATAGGGAGTTCCTACGAGTGTATTTGAACTTTTTGATATTTTTGACTTTCTCCTCGAGAATTACTAGCTTTTCTTCCAAAGAGAATTTCTTAATGGGGTTGGCAGAAGTTGAATTGACTTGTTCGCTCATCCCTCCTTCGTATTCTTCACTTTTCTTGTAATTTTCAGTACTGGGAAGAGATTCTTTGTGATAGAATTTCGGATGACAAAATTGGCTTTGGTTTATTTGCAGATGATCCCGTGAAACATCGAGCTTTTTAGGATTAATATCATTTCAGGATGCCTCCATATTATGAACTTTGTTGCTATAAAGAAATATGAGCATCGTATTATAGTTTAAAATTATTTTTCATATTTCAGAGTGCATTAGACAAGTAGTTAAATATACTTTTAATCTCTCTTTCTACTTCCTCATTGTGAGATAAAGACTAGGAATTGGGTTATCTATTTAGTAGTTTCCTTTCTTAATTTAAACTGGATATTTTCTTCAATTAAGTAAATTTTAACAATAAATAGATCTAAGCACATGAAAGTATTTAGAATTTGTGATTTAATCCATAGCTCAAATTACATATAATATTTTCATGTTTAATAGTTAGTCAAAGTTAATAATGACTTAATGTAAAATTCAGAGATAAAGATGTTTCTAATTCTTACTCTGAACTTAGGTGCTCAGAGTTTTCTTTTACATCGTAAGTGTATCATTTTGAGAGTATTGAGTAATAAAACATCTTCTGTGTGTAAAATCCTATGATGAACCCAAAGAATGATTGGAATAGTGTATACAACCCACCGATGCTGGAAAGTACATCGAGAATAGTGAAGACATCTCTGCTGTAGAAATTAATCCGTGAGTCCAATAAGATATCCAGCCTTGTATAATCTGTATTCGTGGTATCTTGGAATATTTGATCATTTCCTCTTTTAGTTGTGTAGAAAATACTACTCTTCTGTCCCCGGATTAGTGTGTAATCGTCTTCTCTTTCAATTTTATTTTCAGTGAGGAATATTTCTGCTTCTTGAACAAAATTAGGCTGCATTGAGAAGAAATACTCTTGAGTGAGGAAGGTCTGCACTGGATCATTGATATTATTAAGGTGGAAATAGCTATCAATCATCAGTACTTCAAGTTCTCTAGTCACTGAATCTTGGTCAATCTCACTGGTAGTTTTGCAATCAGTACGTTTTGAAGAGTCTCATTTTTTAAGAGAAATGCTGATTGATTTTCTTATATTGACGAGTATCTGTCTCCACCTATCGAATAGTTCTTGTTTGCAATACAAACATACTGATTGATATTGAATTCTTGTAAAAGCGTTTGATTTGCATGAGGAAGATTCCCTTCTCACTTTTGGACTTGAAGAGGAGTATTTTGCTCTGAAAGAATTCCATTAGTGTTGGTAATTATCTTTTGGGACACTTCAAGTTCATACAATTGTAAATATTTAGTATCGAGAAGACTTGTGTTGTCAAGTCTAAACCCAATAGCAAGATCAAATCCATGCTGACCAGGAAAGTGGTGATCATGATCTTTTGACAAGTCTCTTATTGAAAAATGATATGAGAAGTTATTTCCTATCCTTAGTAATCATAACTTCTATGAGGTAGATAGTATACATCAATGTTAAAACAAAGAGTATCATAGTGGCTACACCTCCTACTTTTGTCTTGAATTGGTCATTCTTATTATGTTTAATGTTGATTGGTGATCCAAACAGATCTACACTTGTGACTGCATCTCCTGTGTTATCTAAAACTTTGGATAGGCAAGTAATCAGTTGACCCATGTTAATAATTAGTTTTATTAATATTGTTATTTTTTATATATATTCTGGGGTTTTGGGGTTTTGGGGTTTTGGGGTTTTGGGG